GATGTACAGGAGAGAGATTTTAATTCAATGCTAGATAATGTTTGAATTCATTATTATTAATATTAAATGTATGTTTAATAAAATATTGTATTTGGCCAACTTATGTATCATAAGAAACTCCATCTTAATTAATAAAATTTGCTATTATAAAGAAGCTTCTTATATGTTGAATTGATATAGTCAATCTAAATATTTCTGATCCAATTTGTAGATAGCCAAATTGATCTCTGAATAAATTAATTAATATCGAATTTTTATCTTTATTATCACTAAATAGTAATTGAAATAAATATTAAGGATAGGCTGCCAAATAAAATTCTAATAATAAGTTTAACATTTCATTAAATATCCTTATATGAATTTTTGAAAGAATCAAAAATTCTCTAGGAAAATCTTCAATACTACTAACTGAACTTGTTTTAATACTCCTTGATTTTAGAGAAATCTTTATAACTTATCAGTTTCAAACTGGTCTGTTGCTGCTAAGCTTCTAGCTGTTTTTTTGCTAAAAGCAAATTAAGACATTTTATAATATCTGTTTGATTAATTAGATCATTAATCATAGAGTCTTACATAAGCTAGTGCATTAATTCTGGTTCAATTTGTCAATAGCTATTTGGAAGTGAACTAAGATAACCATTCATTTGCTTAAATAAAAAGCACTAGAATACATAATTGGTTCATTGTTAAGACAGCATTAATTAATATGAAGTGCTAGATAAAGATTTGGAATAATATATTTTTTACTATATTCTTCTTCAATTTGCTTAATAAGAAGAATAAACCAATTATGTGCCTTTTTTAGCACAGTTATATCAATAATTTGACAGACTAAAATTTTACAAATACATATAAAATTTGTAAGAATTCTTTGATCTAGTGTTAAAAGATGATTCCACAGGCAGGATGTTGCATAAATTAAGATAAATGTTTTCTATTTATCAGCTGTAAAATTGAGAAATCTCTTACCACAGTCTAACTTTCTTAAAATTCAGCCAATGTTAGATGGGACCTAGATTTCTGACATTTTTTTGGATTTGCTTTAATTGGCTTGTATTTAATTTTTTCTGATCAATCTATAATCATTTTACAATCCATTTTGCAATGCCTAAAAACAGGCAATACATTAGGTCAACAGCCAAAAACTAAATTAGATTAAAATATAGCAATCGAAGTAACTCAGCCTATTGAACATATGTAAGTTTTTTTGTACTACTTTTTACCTAATTTAGTAAAGTTCCTTTACCATTGTTCAGCATATTGTCAATGTTGGGCTATGTTACATTCGATAAACTATGTATCAATATCATCTATACCTTCAAAATGGTGATGACTATCTTCAAATTGTGCCTTCTTTTTACAACAATAGCAGGCTACTAATGCTGAGGTATAACCACAAAGCTTTTAAGCCACAGGTATATTATATAAGTATAAAATTAATGCTGCTTAGATTATCTTATCAGATGGGTTCTCAAAAGTTGAAATTTGAACACCATCCCAAAATTGGCATAGTTCATCAACAATTGGTGCAAGATAGTGGTTGATATAGTATAGATAAACTTCGTTTAGACCTGGTAAAATGTCAAGAACATTATATTTTTAGTTTTAAATCGAAGTTCTTTTGGCAAGTTAGAAATAGCTGTATAGATTACATCAATAATATACTGAGTTTTATCAAATGCTAAAAACAGTTCAAATTTAATATAAAGCCAAGATGAGTGTCTGCTGATTCTTTTGTAAAAAATCAGCCACTAATCAACTCCTTATCAGTAAATTCTTTCTAAATTTGACTATCATAAATATCAGAAAGTATACCTTCAGGAACAGTGTAATAAGTTCATTTTCAATATAATTGTTCAAAATTAGGATGCATATACATTTTTTCAAGTTGGCTTTTAATTCTTACAAAAGAATAAAGCAAAATCAGTTTATTAATAATATCTCTTAGATATTGATTTTGTATTACTAATGCTGAATTACATGTAGCTATCTGCCTAGATCCAATTATATTCAGAAATTCCACATGGTTATATTTTTTATTGATAATTGTTCATTATTGTTTTGTAAATTAACAACCTTCTTTTTAGTATATAATTTATTACAACTTGGACAAACTGAATATGTTATGAAATCATCAATTTTGAGATGTTTTCAAAGTTTATATATTGAGCTTGGAAAATTTTCAAATAAATTTTCATTTCTAAACTCACATAACAATTGATGAATATATTTAACCAAAACTTCAGTAGCCTCTTTAGACACTTTAAATCAGCTTTGAAATTTTAATAACCAAATTAATATATTATCATAAATAGATAATACTCTAGAGCTAGATCAAAATTCTTCATAATCAATATTCGGTGCTGAATAATCTTCGAATTCATCAATATGGCTATATCGAATGCCTTCTGTTAATTCTTCAGATAATGAATTATCATCATTACTATTATTGTAATTTAGCATAATATTATTATTACTGCTTTCATTTACTAAAGTAATAACTGATTTTTCTATATCCAAAATAGTTATTTTAGCCCTTGATGTTTGGTAACATTTTTTTGGTAAAAATGATAAGTTATCTATATCAAGACTAGATAGAAGTTCATTACCATGACTAGATAGAATTTTATTATCTAAATATAAATCAATTGTTACTGATTGCTGACTTAGGCCACTTAATTCTAAAGCTATCCAGGTTGGTTACCTTAACTTATTTAATCCTGTTTGAGGTAATTGTTATCTTGTTGGCCAGTAGTTGAAGAATGTCGATGTTTTGTACGAGGGTTAACAAGTTTGTCATTACATCTTTTGCAATGGCATTTAACACTCATATGTGTTCTATGGGTCAAAGTAGATAGTAGTTGAGTAGTCGAAATAGAAGGATTAGATTGATGAGATAAATCTTAATTAATGGTTTTTAAAATATTTTTTGTGCTTTGTTTTCAAGACATTTTTAGTAAATTGTGAATTAATAAGTTACTATTGTAAGCAACAAGTTGTTTTTTTATGAAAATTAGAACATATTTATAAGAAATTATTTTATATTATTCTTTACTATAATATGCTTTAAATTGGTACTTTATTATAAGTCAAATGTGGTTCAATTTTTTATTATGAAGCTAATTATGACATAATTTAATTTGATACTTTATTATAAGTCAAGTATAGTTTGATTTGTTATTTTAAAGCTGATTATGGCATGTTTTAATTTGATACTTTATTGTAAAGTCAAATATGCTTTGATTTTTTATTATAAAGCTGATTATGATGCATTTTAATTTGATACTTTGATTATAAAATCAAATATAAGATGAGTTTTATTATGAAGCTAATTATTATATGCTTTAATTTGATACTTTATTATGAAGTTGAATATGGTCGATACTCAGATTTGGCTTGATGTTTGCTTATAAAGTCAAATATGCACTTTAATTTAATATTAAATATTATTCAATGCTTGATTATGAAGTCAAATGTGGTTCAATTATTGATTGATACTCAGATATGGTTTAATATACACTTCAATTTAATATTAAATATGATTCGATACTTGATTATGAAGTCGAATATGGTTCAATTATTGATTATGAGACTGATTATAATGTGCTTTAATTTAATATTCAGATATAATTCAATGCTTGATTATGAAGTCGAATATGGTTCGATTTTACATTCAGATATGATTCAATGCTTGATTACGAAGTTGAATGTGGATCAATTTTTTGATTATGAGACTGATTATAATATGCTTTAATTTAATATTCAGATATGATTCAATGCTTGATTATGAAGTCAAATGTGGTTCAAATTTTTGATTATGAGACTGATTATAATGTGCTTTAATTTAATATTCAGATATGATTCAATACTTGATTATGAAGTTGAATATGGTTTGATTTTACATTAGATATGATTCAATACTTGATTATGAAGTTGAATGTGGTTTGATTTTTTAATTATAAGACTAATTATAATGCACTTTAATTTAATATTCAGATATAATTCAATACTTGATTATGAAGTCGAATATGGTTCGATTTTATATTAGATATGATTCAATGCTTGATTATAAAGTCGAATATGGTTCAATTTTTTGATTATAAGACTGATTATAATGTGCTTTAATTTAATATTCAGATATAGTTCAATGTTTGATTATAAAGCTGATTATAATCACTGAATTTCGATTGAATTTGGTGCTATCAGACACTAAACTCAAACTTACTAAATTCAGCTGAATGATTATTTGAATTTGAGAATAAAAATTAGAAATGCTGAATTTTATTAAAATTTGGTGTTATTTTTTTTGATGTAGAAATCGAAAAGGACTAATTTAGGTCAAATTAATGTAAAAATTGAAATAGTTGAATTTTATTAAAATTTAGACTCCGAATTTTTGACTAAATTTAGATTGAATTAATATAAAATTTGGAATGTCGAATTTTGTTAAAATTTGGGTGCCAAATTTTTGGTTAACTTAGATCAAATTAATGTAGAATTCAGTGTAGCCAAATTTTTATTAGTTGAATTTTAAAAAATTAAATGATTTTTTGCCAAATGTTATTGTAATTTGATCTGGTCAAATTTCTAGTTTTCAACTAGTGTATAGGCTGTTACATATACTATATAACCAAAAAGTATAAAAGCAGTCAATGTGAACTCCAAGTTCAATATCGAATCTTCATATTCTTTCACTAATAAACTACTACTTTATACTATTCAATCTAAACAGTTATTAGTATTCTCATATATTTTTGATTGTAGCCTCTTTCATAATTGCAAATTGTCTTAAATCTTCTTTATTAAGTTTTCTAATATAAAACACCTTCTGACTTAGTTATAATACAATAACAAATAAGATTACAAAAAATGTTCATTGTCTAAGGTTGCTCTAGTTATCTATTATCTTAAAAGAAGTAGATATAAAATAACAATATTATTCTACATTTCTTGAAGATTCAAATAAACTAGTAGAACCTTTATATACTATTGTTATAGAAATGGCTGGCACTGATAAATTATATGTTATTAAAGCTATTTGCAATCATATGTTTGAGATAGCCCAAAAATATGGAATTAATTCAAAAGAAGAACCTCTATTATTAGTTTTTGCTCTGACTGGCATTTCAGCTTTTAATATAAATGGCCATACAATTCATTTTGCACTTATGCTATCTATAAATTCTAATAATTTGAAACTTAGTTCTAAGTCTTTAAAAAAACTTCAGCAATTGTTTAAAAATGTCAAAGTCATTTTATTTGATAAAAAAAGTATGATCAGTTATAAACTTCTTGTAACAATTGATCAATATTTATATCAAATTTTTTCACAAAATAAAGATATGCTATTTGGTGTTTGCTCTGTATTGTTTTTTGGTAACTTCGGTTAACTCCCACCTGTCTTGGACCTTCCAATATATGCATCAGACCCACGATTACATGATTTTATATCAGAATCAGGTCATAAGATTTATACCCAATTTAATAAGACATTCAAATTAGAAACAATACAAAGACAAGCTGGGGACTTAAAAGAACAGCAAGCATTTCGAAGTCTTCTCTTGTATTTACAAGATGGAAAATCTACAAAAGATAATTGGCAACTATATAACAATAGAGTTCGCACATTCATTTCATCAACTGAAAAAGCTAAATTTAAAGATGCCATTCGATTATTTACAATATGGGACCATGTTGATGAATATAACATTTTAAAACTAAAACAACTTAATCTTTCTATTGCTAAGATAAAAGCTGTATATAGTGGTACTGGTGCTAAAAATGCACCTTCTGACACAACAAATAGTCTTGACCCCATTTTATTTCTATCAATTGGAGCTCATGTTATGCTTATTTCCAATCTCTGGACTAATCAAGGATTAGTTAATAGAACTATGGGTATGGTTGTTGATATTTTATATGAATTAGGAAGGACACCTCCCTTGCTACCTACAGTAATTCTGGCTAAAATGAATAATTATATGGGTTCAATGATATCTATATTAAACTATCATAAAGTAGTACCAATTTGGCTGATTAAATATACTTGGAAAGGAAAATCAGAAAATTGCTTCCGCATGCAATTTTCTTTGTGCCTTGCATGGGCAATTACAATCCATAAGTCACAAGGTTTAACATTACAGCATGCCATAATAAATCTTGGAAATAAGGAATTTGCGACTGGTCTTACATTTGTAGGTATATCAAGAGTTCATGCCCTCACTGATCTTCTTTTTAAGTTCAATTTCCTTTGACAGATTACAAAAATTAGGATAAAATGCATGTTTACAACAAAGATTAATTGAGGAACAAAGATTACTTTCTTTATAAATTTACTATAAATATAATCTTACAGTAATAAAAATTATAAATGTAATACTATCATTAACATTATATAAAAATAATCTTACAGTAATAGAAATTATAAATGTAATACTATCATTAACGTTATATAAAAATAATCTTATAAATAATAGTAATTTATAAAATGTAGATACTATTTTAATTTTATTTTAAAGTGTAAGACCTAAAAATTAGAGCTCCAGCCCACAAAACATCGCCATTTTTCTAGTGTTATACAACTAATCCACCTGGTGTGCAATACATAAAATAATTATTTCGCAATACCAGATCAGCAGTCTTTTTGATCACATGTGTACCTACAATATTAAAGAGTCAAATTATGGAAGTGTCTAGCAAATCAAACTGATATTCCGAAAATAAATGTACCTACATGAGGCACATAAGTTGATAGAGCCAATTGTGGACTTCATAGAGAATGGGAGAATGTCGAATCTATTTGTCCGATGCTAAGTTATAGTTTTGTCATCACCTAATTATTGTATATGTTATGCATCATTTCAATTTACGTCAATTATTATTGACGCCTGTCATTTTTCAATTTCCACCAATTGATAAATGAACCAGGTCAATTCTTAATTCAGATCATATTATAATCAATGGTAACTTATTAATGATGTCAATGATAATAAATAAATAAATTTTGAAAAATAATCTTTCATTCTCTTTCTACTAATGAATCCACAAAGTAATTCTTTTCTGACCCCGTGAGACCTTTAAATAAATATTGGAAACGTACACAAACGAAGCTTGATGGATAGAGAACGCTACAATGAATGTCTTAATATATTAAAAAATTCTGTCGAGCAAAATATTACATGTCCAATTTATAATATTCAGGAACGTCAAACTTATAATGTTCAACATCCAAGTTATACTCAAGAGCACATATACAAAACTACTCAACTCAAGAATACCCAAGGACGCTTAACTCATACATTTCCGAAGTAAGTGATTAATAAAATTTTTTGAATTTAATTAAAATTTTACTGATATAATTTGAATTGAAGTTACAGTGCAAATAATAATGGTTCAAGTCAAAAAAACTCACCCAAATCCGTGCAGTTGCGAAAAACGAATTGCAGTACTAAATCTTGCTCTTGTATAAATAAAAATTCGTTATACTTAAGGCACTGTGGATAAGTTTTACGTGAACAATGCAAATATTTTAAGTTATATTAGTAAATTTTAACATAAATTTTAACATAAATTTGAATATTTTCGGTTAAACATAATGCGCATAATAAATCTTTCTACCAGTTTTTATTTAATTTGCAAATTTTATACTGATTTTAAAATGATGTATGTCAGTTTTCAATTGAAAAATGACATATGTCAATTAATAATTGACAGAATTTACAAATGACGCATAACATTAGCAGATCCTCTACAAGTCGAGTTTCAATGAAAACTTCTATAGCACATTTTTGGCAAATATAATAATTTTGATTTTTGAAATATTTTAAACCAGTCAACAAATTCCATCATGTGCAGTTATTATATAGATATCAAGAATACAATTTATACAGATGTAAATCAATTATTTTAAACACACATGGCCCGCTTTAGATATCTAAAGTAGTACCTGACTAGAATTGTGCACATAATTCTAGTCAGGTACTAAAATGGCAATTTTAGATACGATATGAATTTTTTTTTTAGCCAGATTTTGGATGTCGTGATTTTGTGGTAGAACCCTTCAAAATATAAATCTTGTACAAAAAAAATTTTAAAGTTCTGGTTTTAGTGCGTCAACATCGCACAACTTCCTAATTTTTTATTTTATTTGAAATTTCAATATACAGTTTTTGATAAATTGCGTATGTATATTTGATGTTGTTTTCTTATATTTTAAATCTGTGGACTTCAAGAATTAAAGCTATCATTATTTATCAAGATAAACGATAAAAATTATTTATTGCCTCATTTTTTGTATGCATATTGTTCAAAAGTAGTAACATATGGATGTAAAATTTTAGTAATAGAAATGTCGATTTCCTTGTCGGAGCGAACAACTCTGTAGCTATTAAACCAACAACTCTATTGAAAATATAAATTGATAAAAACCTTATTGTTCTTTTTTTTTTAAAAAAAATAAAGAAGTTCGAATGACATACCATATCTAACATTTCTTCACTAGCCAAATAGGGGAATTCTCTTTCTGTTTCTTCGCAACCGGGACTGCGAAGTTTAAATTGTCTTCCAGTAACTGATAGTTTAATAAAAAAATAAGAACCAAATTTTGTATTTGAAAATTAAACAGGTAAAAAAAATTATTAGAAACATACCTTTAGTCAATATTTTGGCAATTTTTCCAAAAGAAATACTTTCTGAAACAGCTGGAACTTTCTTTCCATTCCACTTTTCTGGTCCTTCTTCAATAACTTTGGCTACAACAGGCTAAGAAAATTTATTTAAATTATAACTTCTATAAAGTCTGTCTATGTAAATGATAACATGATCACTTATGCCAGTATCGGTTTCAGGATCAACAATCTCAATAGTGGTGTTTTTATTGACCAATGGAACAACAAATTCAGATGTTTCATCTTCTTTTGTAATAACAGGAAAAATGTACCAAAATTCGTAGCATAGAAACTCATGTAGATAAATGTGACGTTCGGAATACCCAAAGTTCTAATGTATTTTTCAACCCAATTTTTTCCTATATATATGATACTTAAAATATATTAATGTATACATAAAGACAATACAATAAATTGGTATTTCTTATTGTAAAAATGTATGACTTTGTAATCGGGGGTATCCGGAAGAGAACTTAATATAGATATTAAAAAGATCAGTCCTATGAAATATCTAATTCATTTTATAACATAACATACCTATAAAGAAGCCAATTCAATCCGACTTCTTTAGCGATGTCAGCAATCATTTTACCTTGTCTTTCTTCTTCAGCCATATTATCCGGAAAAATGGACTAATATAATAATCATGGCCTTCAGATAGTAATTATTATATAAGGTCATTTGAAATTATAATTTCGTTTATGTTCTCCCCTGAAATTAAACAAGTCAATCAGAACGTCCATTACGTCATTGAGATTTCGATAAATCATGTAACTGCAGACCCACATCAATGCGCTTAAGCTTCGAAAGGAACATTAAATAAAATTATAACTGCAAATGGCTAATTAATGAAATGTGAGTTCTTTTACCAGATCAAAGAAATTAGTTACAATAAATGCGATATCAGCTCCATTAAGTGCATTTTTGACATCTTCTCTATTAGAAAGATTGGCTTTGAAAGCTTCGGCACCCTTTGCAACAAGAGCTTTTGCTTTATCAGATTCAGGATTAAGTGTAAGACTACGGACTCTGTATTTTCCTGTTGCAAGGAGAGCATTGATAACAGATCCTCCTGTATATTTCGATTCAAAAAACATTAGCAAAATGTTGACAAAGTTTGGGCGAACATGAGTAAATAATACCTTGTGCATCTAAAATATATAAAAAAAGCCAATATATATTAAAAAAATGCTATTAAATATGACAAATTATCATTTTATTAAAATATATTACAGTAGCTCTACTAACGACTACTAAGGGTTTTTGAAATAACATTTTGGAATTTTTTTTATGGTTTAATATTTAACACAAATAAACTTTAACAGCCAATTTATTATAATAGTAGACTGAAAAAATTATTTCGACTTCAGAAGAAACTTTGCACCTTTTTATATAATGAAATCCAATTCGTTTTCATTATACAAAATCCAAACTTTATGCGTAAAGAAAATATCTTAAATGTAATTGATTAATAATCATATGCGTTAAGATTACCTTCTTGATACATAAATTCTGAATTTGGAATTAGATCTTTGCGATTATTATTAATGATACATAAATTCTGAATTTGGAATGTGATTTTGTGTTGACTTTATTATTAATGATACATAAATTCTGAATTTGGAATATGATTTTGTGCTTATTATTAATGATAATTTGGAATATTACTTTTGTGTTTGGCTCACAATTTTAGGCTTTGTTACCGTAAATGTCCTTATGAAAGTTCATATGCACAACAATCGGACGGCCTATAGACATATACCAAATCGTGCGACTTGCATTTACCCTAACTATAGGGTAAGTATATTACAGTCTCAATATTATCATATATGGATTAAAAGACTATTCTATATTTCAAAACATAGCATTTTTATTTTTTTAAAAGAAAATTGTCTAAATAATAAACCTTCAAGTTAATTCTAATATAAATAATACTATGAATATGTCTAGGAATCCTTGTATTAAAAGGCAGTTATTAGCCAAATAAAGAAAAAACGATGATTGGCACAAAATTAGCCTGATAGATTAGCCATAGATTTAAATACTTAAATAGAAATATCGAGAAGCATATAAAAGGGTGTATGATCAGCATCATCCCAATTCGGTAATATCTGTATTTATAATGATACATGCAAAGTCTCATGAATTTGTAAGTGTCCCTAACAGCATGACTGGATTTCTCACGTAATTGTTGTGTCCATAGCTTTTGCCAGTTTAAAACTCTGCAAAATTAGAAGTCTGATCTGTATAAATCGCAACAATTAGCCCATTTTGGGTTGTTGAATCTATGAGATATTTAGATAATGATGTTGATCCGAAAGTTTAAGATCAAAGTTGTAAGTACCAAGTAGGACAATAAATAAAGGTTGAAGGCGTAACAATATATACAGTATAAAGGGATTTTAAAGTTATCGTGGGGCACTATTTATAGGGAATGGTATGTATTGGTACACAGCATGTATTTACTGATTGAGAAAGAATTGTTCTTATATAAAGGCATTCACTTGATTGGCTGTGTAAATAATTGCCCGGGTAACTTATATATACATTTTAAAGTATGATTCTACCATCCAAAATCTCAAAACCATAATCCCAGCGTGACAATTAATATTTAAAGATTAGTAATCATTGTTAACCCTAAATTTTTAATTGTCATATCACGTGATGTTAGTATTATGACCTATCAATATTTTGGATGTCCGGATTTTGTGGTAGAACCTTGAGAATGTGATGCTTCACTAATGAAAAATCACTGCAAAAATCATTTTTCACTTCAAAAGAACATTTATTTCCATTGCACAAAAATAATCAGAATAATCAGTAACCTCAAGAACTTTACTTAAAAGACAAAGTAAGCCTATTGTTTATTGGACCATATTGTAGATTGAAGTAACTGTAAACGTTTTCGTCTAAACTATTTTATTTTGTTAAATTTAGATAAATTTTATTTCTAATTGTTTGATTTGAATATATACAAGTTCTAAGTAATAGAGAATATGTAGAAGATATACTAGGTTAAATGTTAGAAAGATTGGAGAAAGTTGGTGAAGAAATATGGATAATTCAAGTCAATCACTTCTAAGAGTGTCTTAGTTGTGCCAATGAGTGTAGACAAGATCAAGGATTTTCTGCAAAGTAAGAAAGAAGTATTTGAAAGAAGAAAAAAATAATATCTCTTTGTTAAAAAAAAGAAAAAAGTAGAAAAAGAAAAGAAAAGAAAAAAAAGATAAAAATGTATGTTACAATATTAATAAACTAAAAACCAAAAATTGGAAACTTAAAAACCTACTTAATTAGGCAGAAGAAGAAGGAATCACAATATTAGAAATTGTGAAAATGAAACTTATAGAAAGAAAAAAAAAATTCTTAATACATGAAATGATTAAAAGATATATTAATTATTAGAGTAATATAGTAAAAGATAAAAAAAAGAATCAGGTACAGGGATTTTGTAGAAAAGTAGTAGAAAAAACTTGTAAGCATAATTAAAAAATAAATAAGTATATGATAGAGATCATAGTATATTTTAAACAGATAAAGTTAATAGTAATAAAATTTTATATACTATTAAATAACAAAGAAATAAAAAGTATTTAGCAAAAAATAGTAAAGATAGCTGTTAATAAAAAGAAACAAATATATCAAATAATATATTAAATAAACAAAATCTACAAATTATATGTTGTAAAAGATTACTAATATTTAGTTAAATAAAACAACAAGACTTTTATAATATATATAGAAAGATGTATCTAATAAATTAAAAATACGCATAATTAAATAAAGAAGTAAAAATAAGAATTAATTATATATAGGTATCAATGAAGTTAAATTCAATTCTATAAAAAACAAAAATAAAAGATATACAAAAGATTACCAAAAATAATAATAGTAGAAATATGTATAAAGCATATGACAATAAAAAATAACATTCTTCAAATTAACAAACAGTCACAATGTAACCTTTCATTACTCACCTCCACTAATTCAACCTCTATTCAAACTTGGCTCCAACATGCTCACTCAACCTGGAAACAACTCTTTCATGCTCGCTATCTTGAAAACTCTCTTTTACTTCGACAACAAATTAACCAAGCTACTGACAAAAGATGTGTTAACCTTACAACA